CTCTTGGTAGTGAATAATGTAGTTGGTGACGTTAAGTTGAAGCCAATGTTCATTTTCTGAAAACCCTAGGGCCCTTAAGAATTATGTTAAACCTACTCTGCCTGTACTCTTCAAATGGAGCAACAAAGCCTGGATGAATACAAAACCTATAAACATCTGTTTATTGAATATTTTAAGCCCAATTCACTGTTGACACCTACTGCTCAGAAAAAAAAGGATTCCTTTCAAAATAGTATTGTTCATTGACAATGCACTTGGTCACCCAAGAGTTCTGATAGAGATGTACAGTACTAGAAGATTAATGTTTTCATGTCTTCTAAGACAACATTCTTTCTATAACTCATGAATCAAGGAGTAATTTAGACTTTCAAGTCTTATTATTTAAGAAATACATTTCATAAGGCTATAGCTGACATAGATAGTGATTCCCCCGATGGATCTGGGCAAAGTAAATTGGAAACCTTCTGGAAAGTACTGACCCAGACTTCAATAAAGGAAGTTTGTAGGAATAGCAAGAGAATTAAAATTAGAAGTAGAGCTTGAAGATGTGACAGTATTGCAGCAAACTCATGATAAAATTCGAACAGATGAAGAGCTGCTTTTTATGGATGAGCAAAGAAAGTGGTTTCTTGAGATGGAATCTACTCCTGATGAAGATGCTGTGAACATTATTGAAATGACAACAAAAGGTTTAAAATATTACATAAACTCAATTGATAAAACCTAGCAGGGTTGGAGAAGACTGACTCCAGTTTTGAAAGAAGTTCTATTATCTATCAAACAGCATCATATGCTACAGAGAAAACTTTTGTGAAAGGAAGAGTTGATGTGGCAAATTGCATTGTTGTTTTATTTTAAGAAATTGTCACAGAAATGTATATCTGTATTTCAGACAGAGCTCTCTCCCATGGGAGCCTTAAACTCAGTCTGTCTAAAAGTGAATTCAACTTTCCTTGGAAACTTGCTTCTTCTCCTATATCCTCTATCTCAATGTACCACCATATCTCAAGTATCACCATTCCCTCAGTTTTTTACCCTATAAACTGGTGAGTCTTAATTTGATTCTTCCCTCTTCTTCACATCCTGCACCTCCTCATTTTGACCATTAACAATTAACTACAACACTCTTTCCATTTTCCCTTATAACTCTCTGGAATCTGTCTTCCCATTCATCACCTTTATTCACCAACATAACTATTTCTTCCTAACTGATTTCCTACTTCCAATATTTTCTCTCCCTAAAAAATACTCCATATCACAACCAGAATGGTCTTTCTAAACAAAAAAAAATTTTAAATCATTTTCTCACATGTACTGTTTCAATGTTTCTCTACTGCCCAAAGGGAGAAAGTCCAAATTCATACATCTCTCTTTACAGTGCATACCAGTCATTGGCAACACAAAATGATGCCACAATTCTGTCACCTATAGGCCTTTGTACCCCCATTCCCCTTGCCTAGCATGCCTTTTCCAAACCCCTTCCTACTGCTAACTTCTACTCATGTTTCAAATCTCAAATTAGGTATTACCCCCAGAGAAGCAATCCCCAAACCTAGACTTATGATGCCCAAAATGATAGCCACCAACTGTACATAGCTAATGAGCACTTGAAATGTGGCTAGTCTGAACTGAGATGTATTTTAAGTGTAAAATACACTAGATTTGGAAGGCTTAGTATGGGGGAAAATATTAATATAAAATATCATATTAATAATTTTTATATTGGTTAAATGTAAATATTTGGGATATAATGGGTAAAGTAAAATATTATTGAAATTAGTTTCATCTTTTTATATAGTTAAAAACTAAAAATTACATGTGGCTTGTATTATATTTTAATTGAACAACATTAGACTGGATAAGGACATTAGACTGGATATTGCCTTATAGTTATTTCTTCACTAGCATTTATCTTTTTAAATTACAAGGGTCTGCCTTAGTCAATGTAGTGATTCAAAGGTAAGGGTGCTAAAATACACACAGTTGATCTTCATTATTTTTGGATTCCATATTTGCAAATTTGTACACTTGATAAAATTTACTTGTAATCCCCAAATCAATACTTGCAGTGCTTTTGAAGTCATTTGGGAACGTGCACAGAGATTTGAGCCATCCAATACAGATTTTCCTAGCTGGAGTCACACATAGCAAAGCTCTGCCTTCTTGTTTCAGTTGTCAGAATTTAAACAAGTGTTCTTTTCAGTCTATTTAGTGCCACATTTTTTACATTTTTGAACTTTTTTTGGTGATTCACTATTTAAAATGGCCTCCAAGCACCATGCTGAAGAGCCATCTAGCATTCCTAAACACAAGGATGGGCCGGGTGTGGTGGCTCTGGCCTGTAATCCTAGCACTCTGGGAGGCCAAGTAGGGAGGATTGCTCAATAGGATTTGAACCAGCCAGAGCAAGAGTGAAACCCTCTCTTTAAAAATAGAAGAATTAATTGGCCAACATATATATATATATATATACATATACATATATATGTATATGTGTATATATACACATATGTATATGTGTATATATATATATTACCTGGGCATGATGGCGCATGCCTGTAGTCCCAGCTACTTGGGAGGCTGAGGCAGAAGGATTGCTTGAGACCAGGAGTTTGAGGCTGCTGTGAGCTAGGCTGATGCCACAGCACTCGAGCCTGTGCAAAAGAGTGAGACTCTGTCTCAAAAAAAAAAAAAAAAAGCCAATAAGTACATAAAAAGATGCTTAATATCACCATTAATTAGGAAATGAAAATAAAAAAAAACACAATAAGATATCCTATTATGCTCATTAGGATGGCTACTAACCAAAAAACAACCAAAAAAAACAAGGACATGGTATATCTTACAGAGAAAGTATGTTAGATAAGCTACCTTCAGGTATTACTTAATAGTGCTACTGGCCACGGGTTCAATGTTAATGAGTCAACAATATATAGTAAATAATGTGTATTTAAACAGAAACACATAAAACAATAAAACACATATTGACCACTTAATGAAAATGTTGTGTCCAGAGGCTCACAGGAACATAACCCTGTATTTCCCCTAGGAGCAATGATGGTTCAGTACTTGCTAATTCAGTGTTCTAATGACTTCAGGAGAATCAACTATACTTTTCGAATGAATGAAGCCTAGACGTTTTATTCTAAATCCAAAGCTTATATGAATGGTGGTAGTTAAAGCAGAGACTCTGAGGCCAAGCTACCTAGATAACAATCTTGGCTGACTTGCTCTGTGATTTGGAGCAAATTACTTAACTTTTCTCTGCCTTTTCCAAGTAAAAATGCATAATAAAGAGTATCTGTTAATATTTGGATGGGGCTGAGTGTGAGGCAAAGGGACTGACCACGAAAAAGCACAAGGAAACTTTTGGAATGAGGGAAATATTCTATGTCTTGATTATAGGGTGGTTATATATAACTATGTTTTTCAAAACTCATAAAACTAAAAAGAATTTTACTTTACATAAATTATAACTTAAACATGGTTAAAAAATAGAGAGTAGTGGTCAAGATTAAAGAAATAACATCATTTAGTACACCACCTGCCAACAGAAATATTCTTTAAATACACTTTACCAATCCTTCTAAAAACAGTAATAGGGAAATATTAGGTGGTATAAGGAAAAGCAGAGTGAACTCATGAACCGGGTTCTACTCTGGCTCTTTCATATGTTTACGGGCTGGATTCATTTTATGGGAGGTAACTTACTGTGAAGGTTTAAATTGGACAATATGTCTGAAACATATGTGTAAACCAGGCGTTCTCAAACTACGGCCCACAGGCCACATGCAGGTGTTTTTGCCCGTTTGCTTTTTTACTTCAAAATAAGATATGTGCAGTGTGCATAAGAATTTGTTCATAGCTTTTTTAAAACTACAGTCCAGCCCTCCAACGGATAGTGAATTGGCCCCCTGTTTAAAAAGTTTGAGGATCCTTGTAAACTGTAGTCATACTTATGTGAGAAATAGGATTATTCATGAGACAGCAATATGAATCACAGGACCACATAAATTGGGGTGTGGTATAGGAAGCACCTAGATCACCTCTCCAAGGTAAGAGAATGCGAAATGGAACTGTGAAAAGAAGATTGCATCTCCTTTAGGAACCTTCCTACAGGATCTAGGTTGGTTTTGAAAACAACCCAACCGCTCCAATGTGGTACTGACAAACCCCAAACCCTAAGGAATGCCAGTGTCAAGAGGAAAGAAAGGCTGAGTTGACAGAACACCATTCTAGATGGAGAAAGCGGTAGGAGTCAGATACCCTTCGCCTTCACAACTCCAGAACAGCTTCTGTCTGGTGTCAGAAACGGTTTACGTCATTTTCCTGCTGCTCATAGGCTTCTGGATGCTTTGGAGTTCCCACCCCTGCGAGCACTGTTGACGCTGGAGGGGCAACTGGCGGCGGTCCCTGCCTAAATCTCACCACGGGGTGGCTGTGTCCCTCGGAGAACCCGCAGTGCGGAGCCGGGAAATGACATACGGTATCTGAGCTCTTATTCCAGAGACAAGCGTGGATTCAAACCCCAAGGACGGCTGTAAGCTGAACCAGAAGCTCGAACCCGAAGTTTCCTTCACAGACACCTGGGACACTCGCTGTCGCGCGCCTCGCCAGTTCTGATGGCCGTCACGTGACAACCGCCACGCACCCGATGGCAGGGGCCACCGAGCGCATGGCTTCGTTCCCATTAACGTGGACTGGGGCCGGAGGCAACAAACCCAAAAGTTCGAGGGAGCAAGTTTCCTTGACGGCGAATTTGCCCTCAGCAAGCAGACTCAAAGAAGCGCTCTTCACGCCGGAAGTGCACTAATCCGCAGCACGTGGGGTTGCCAGGGCGCTCTTCACGTGACTGGGCGGGGCCTCGGGATCCTGGTAGCCAATGGTAGCACGAGAGGGCGGTGCCTGTGACGCTCCAGGGCCTATCCCGGAAGTGGGGCTAAGGTGGGGGCGGGAAAGGGCGGGGAGCCGGGGTGTGGAAAGTGTGGCGGCCCCGCCCCGTGTCTTGGAACTGCTGCGGCCGCCACCGCCGCAGCTGTAAGGGACCTGCACGGGTGCGCAGGCGAAAGGCGCTGTTTGCCTGCGGAAAGGTGAAGACCAGGGGAAAAGCTGGTGGGGCTGGGACTGGAGCGAGGCAGGGCCGGGGAAGGCTCCCGGAGCCGAGCCCTGACCGAGGGAAGGAGGAAGGATGGATTGGGGAACGGTGACGAGCGCAGGACCCGCCGGGGCTCAGGCCCTTGTGGGGCCGGGCAGAGCCGGGCCGGGCCGGGCCGGGCTGGGGATGCCGGCAGAAGAGGGGACGCCTTGTGCGGCCGGGCTGGCGGCGCTGAGGGCTGGAGGGCGCGGTGCGCGCCCGCTACCCAAGGGCCAGGTGCTGCTGGCCAGGTCCTCTTATCCCCCATCCTTCGCGGGGACGTGCGGCCTGGGCTGGGCTCCCCGCAGTAGGGTTCGGGGCGGCGGTAAGGGCCGGGCGGCGCGGCGCGGGAAGGTCGCCGGCTCTTTCTGCGGCTGGGCGGTAGGGGCCGAGACCTGCCTTCCCCTGCGCGAGTGAGCGCCCAAGGCGAGTATCCTCCCCACCTCGGGCGAGTTCCTCTGCGACTTCCCTCCCCACCAAAGGCTGGAAAAGTTTGTAGAGGCCAGTTAGAAAGTGCCTACTAGTCTTGGGTGGGTGTTCTATAAATTCAAAAATAACAGGCCTATGATGCTTGGCACCTAACCTGTCCGAAACGAGACGTTTCCCTGCCTCCATGCCGGTTATTAAAAAGCAAACAAACTTTTTGCGTAGTTCCCACGGAAAAACTACCATCTCCCCAGCCCACCATGGCAGATGAAATTGATTTCACTACTGGAGATGCTGGAGCTTCCAGCACTTACCCTATGCAGTGCTCGGCCCTGCGCAAAAACGGCTTCGTGGTGCTCAAAGGACGACCATGCAAAATAGTAGAGATGTCAACTTCCAAAACTGGAAAGCACGGTCATGCCAAGGTAAGTGCCCTGCCAGGTCAGTGTTTGGCGTCAGAGTTGGGATTTTGATTATTTGTATTCTGTTCCAGATCATGAGATTTCTATACTTAAAATTTTGTAATAAGCACTTTTTCCCCTTCTCACAATTAGTGGCTGATCATCTATTGCTTTGAGTATTTAAAGGCGGCAGCAATCCTTTCTTGGGCCCTTTCATTAACTGGGAACTGAAACTTTTCTGAATCCTATTGACCTAGGAGATCTGTTCCGTTTACGGAGGAGAAAACCTGTTCTAATAGTTCTAAGAAACGTAACTTTATTTTTTGTATGTACTCTTATAATTGAATTACTGGAATATATATTATATTGGGTTCTGACATGTCATGATACTGTTTAGTTGTTTACTGCATCTTAATTCTATGACCATTACGTTTGTTTTAAGAAAGTAAAATTAGATGACCTTGGAAGGAGGAGAAAGAATCTGTCATAATCAGCATTGGTATTGTGCTCTTGTATATGTAATGAGTGATATTCTTGGCAAAGTTTAAACAGGTTTCCTGTTCTCCTTCTCTATTAGGTTCACCTTGTTGGAATTGATATTTTCACTGGCAAAAAATATGAAGATATTTGCCCTTCTACTCACAACATGGATGTTCCAAATATTAAGAGAAATGATTATCAAGTAAGTACTAACTTCCTTTACACTGTTGCTTACTAAAGGTGCAAATATGGTACTATCATTTGTAGTTTAACAAAACCCAAGAGTAGGTTTGTAGATTTTCCTAACCAATTATTAGGCACCAACTTTCTTAGAAATTAGAGAACTAGATCCTGATGTTTAACACTTGTACCTCATCTAGAATTATTACTAGTTTCCTATTTTGTAACATTCTTGCATTTTAAAAAAGTTGAACACTTCTCAGTGTTCCTCAGGCCAAGTGACTGCATATTTTGACTAAGTTGAATATTTAGTAAAACTACTATTCTCTCTGTTGTAAAATATTTCAAATTTAGATATCTACATCCTGGTTGTTTTATTTCTTTTCACTAATCATACCTAAGACTTTCAAAAAACTACTGAAATTTGTGTTTCTACCAACCAAGTTTTTGTATTAATGAATGTGAGTCAGAACTTGTTATTCTTAAATACCGTGTTTCCCCGAAAATAAGACCTACCCATAAAATAAGCCCTAGCAGAGTTTTAAACATTTGGCAATATAAGCCCTACCCCAAAAATAAGACCTAGTGATGGGCGTGGCTACGCAGCGTATCTGCACAACCCATGCATTTCGTCACTGAGCAGTAAGGAAGATGAGCAGCCCTTCTCATTTGCCCCCATGACAGCTCTATTGCTCAGCATGAGAGATTGGGCCAATGGTTCTAAAGGAAATAGAGTTGCAAGAAATTCAGGATGGAATTCGGGGTTTGGAGAGTTATGATGATGTTCCAGAAGAAGATGACTTAACTATATTTGAATAAATGTAGATTGTTGTACTGTACTTTAAAAAAAATCACACATCCCCTGAAAATAAGCCCTAGGGTGTCTTCTTGAGGAACAATAAATATAAGACCCTGTCTTGTTTTCAGGGAAACACGGTAGGAAGATAAATCGAAAGCTGTAAATATAAAGGGTAAAGTACGTGGTCACTGAATACGGTGAAGAAGATACAAAAACTATGTAATCAGTTTATTTATATTCAGTGACCATGCTTTGACCTTTTGTTAAATTATATGTGTAAACTTCAAGTTTAGTTCCAATTATACATTTGGATAAGTCATGTTTAATGATAGCATTTTGTTGTTTGGAGTATTGATGATAACCAACAATTGATCTCATAGGATATAGAAACTCAGATTAATCACAACTAAAGCATTTCTTGAAAGCCTTCAACTTCTGTATAAAGCATACCATGGATCAAACTCATGTCTGGTCATTTTACATAGTCAAAAATACAAAGTTGACACTTATATTTGTTTTAATTCAACTGAAACTGATTTTTTTCTATACCTTTTATTGTATACATTTTTAAAGAATGTTGCTATCAACTATAATTACCCAATGATTTCCTTTTACTCTTTGTCCACATGCAAACATATTTTTATGTAGTTTTAATCTAGTAAATAGTTTTATATTTTCACTTTCCTACTTATCAGAAATGTTTTTTAGGTTGCATTGGAGTCTTTGTAGAAATTTGAATTATTTTAGTATACTAGCAAGTGGTTTCAGTCAGGTAGATCTTGGTTTGTATCTAGTTCTGCCACTTTGTAGCTGGATGATCTTGGACAAGTTACACAATGTCTCTGAGCCTGTCTTCCCATCTATAAAACAGAACTAAATGAGAAAATGTATCACATAAATACCCTATAAGTAGATATCTACCAAAAAGTAGTTCTACTTTCCCTTCTCCTGTCTAAAAACTCTACTTAATCATTTCATTATTGTTGGAGCACCAAATCTAGATGTGGTCCATAGTAGGTGTTCAATAAACATTTGTTAAATGCATATGTGGTTATTCATTATGATAAGGATAGTGCAGCACACTTAAGCTGAGCATAGAATTTTCTTTTGCCAAAAATGTATTTCTCTTTTCACCCTATAATATTAAGGGTTTGAATATTTAATATTCATCATATTCAATAATATCTATTCAAGGCAGAATGCTTTTGCTTGTTGTATGTTTCAGAAAGATGGTATCAGCAGTTCAGATAATTACTACTTGATAAAATTAGCCACTCATTGACTGGAGCTCAAGATTTAGCATAAAGGAAAAATTTGGTTTGGGTTTTATTTTAGTATATAGTGGGGTCCAGACTAGGGTAAGGTGAATGAGGTAAGGGAGGCCCTTGCCTCAGGCACACAATTTTCGATAAAGACAAGACTAGTAACAATGCTAAGCTATATAGGAGCCTAAGGCACAAGGAAAAAAACCAATAAATCTGATCCTGTCTTTATTTAAAATTTTGATATTTTGTTTATCATAGAATATTTGCATTAATTGCAATTTTTAAAGATGTTGCATTAAAATATTTGTTTGATCACTGTAAGTGTTTTGGTGTCTTAAATTTTGCACCCAAGTCAAGTATCTCACTTCACCTAATCGCAGCCTTTGGTATGTAGTCCATGCTACAGAGTGGACAAGAGGATAATTTCAGCCAGACAGACTGGGTCCTAATCCCTGCTTTGGCACTAACTAGCTGTGTGACCTTGGTTGACAAGTTACTTAACCTCTGTTGCCTCCATTTCTTTATGTATTATTTATTTATAAAGTGGAGATGTGAATAATAAACTCCTCATGGGATAATTTTGAAGCTTAATTAGTTTATACTAGAACAATGCCTGGCATAGTAAGTACTCACTGTTCATTTTCAAGTCAGCATAGAATACTAATTTCTGTTTATTTTAAAAAATTAGTTCTGTGAGACTTTCCATTTACATTTATTATGCTATCGTGGTCTTCACTCACCTATCCAAGTGCCTTGATTAAATTCCTACTTTTCTTATTATTTGGCTATGTATAGTCCTTTATTTGGCTATGTATTGTCTTTTGTATTTGCTAAATTCAATATTTTGAGTGCCAATTTGGCAGTCAGCTAAAGTGAAATACGTATATCTGTTCATTTTAATAATTAAAAACTAAATATTTGTTTAGGAAAAGAAACATTAATATTTGCAGTTTTAATTTTTATGTATCTTAAAATAAATTCAGAATGAAAGAAAAATTGTCTCCTGTCTATTCCAAGATTAGCTTAGATTAGAATTGCTAATTACCATTACTTCTCCCCAAAATAGTTAACTTTGTCTGGGGCACAGGGATGGTATAAAATACAAATATATCCAGATACCTTTGGGAATTCCCAAATTCATAAATATAGAAATTCTTATTCAAAAGCCAGTACTCTGTTGAATCATATTTCTTTAGAAAGTTTTGTATTGCTGTGCACTCTACCACAAGTTAACTGTCTTTTCTGCATTCACTCAAGTTTTATCTGTCATTAGAAGATCATTTTCTAGAAGGAAAACTAATTACAGGACACATTAAATTCATATTGTAGACCTTTGGATTATTGGTTGATTGCCAAAACTATGACTATTAAACTCCAGTGTATTCTTCAAATAAGTGGTCTATCTTTTGGATGTTTAGATGTTGTTGCAACTTAAAACAATAATGGCAAACAAAATGATGATGCTATAAATTCCTTGAGCTCTTAAAGTCTTTTTATAATTTTTACCTGTTCTGTAGAATCCTTGTATTCTCTGATGGAAGCAGTCTTTCTTTGGGAATAGAAAACTTCTAAACCAGCAGAGCTCAGTATTGCAGGGACAAGAGGGAAATACTTTGCTACAGGATCAGTAAGCGTATTAATGAGAAAAGCCTTTACCTTTGGTTCCTAGACCTGTGCATTCTACCTATGGGAAAAATAGCACCGTATATTGAAATATATTGTAACCTGCAAAACAACACGCCAGGCCAACAAAGTATCACCCAGCAGATGCCATAAATGAGTCTTCAATACCAGTCCTCACAGGCAAGCAGTTTTGGAATGATGACGTATATAAGCCAGTGAATTCTCTGGGCATTGTCCTGTGCCTCATGATTATGCCTACAAAATTACTCTTTTAGTCAGAAGTGAGGCCATGTGAGGCACTATGACAGGAATGAGGCATATTCTATAAATCTAAATGGGATTTTGGCAGAAGCACTGCAGGCAGGAAAGGCAAATCCATATGTAAGGCAATAATTTATTGCAATAAGGGCAAATTTCTGCCACTTCCATGATGGAAGGGGTACAGTGTTATCAGTCAAATGGCTAACTGTTCCCCCTGGGAAATGGTGCCATATCCAGGACTCTGTATTGGTCTGTTCCATGAGGTCCTCAGTGGCTGTAGTCAGATCAGCCTTGGTGAGAGAAAGCCTGTCATTGAGACCATTGAGCAAGGAGTGGGGAGGCTACAAAAAGAAGCTGAATGGCATCCACAAAGTGAATCATTTTGTCCTAATTATTAGAGCCATTTTGACCTAATTATTTAGAGCCTCATCAGTAGCAGATAACCCTTTGGTGAGCATTCATATGGACACATTCTCTAATTCTTTGGAGGGGTCCGTCCATTTACCACTTTCCCAGACCTTTTTGTCAGCACTTTTTGTATCTTGTTCTTTTAGTGCCCTTAACTTTTTAGCCAAACTCTTAGCTATTGCCAATAATCAGCATAAATCCACACCTCTGGTTCTCTCTTCTTTCAGTTCTAGTACTTAAAGTTCTTCCCAGCCCCGCTATCTTTCAGGCCCACCTGTGAATGCTGTCATCATGTAATGTATAACCATCTAGAAACCATTCTGAATTTTTTTCTTTTTCAGTCAACTGGTTGTAGGGAACTCCCCAAAAAGCCATAGGTATGAGTTGAGGGAGAAATGTCAATGTGGTAGGAGCAGGTGTTTTCTGAATCTGAGCCACTTCTTATGCAGTTTGTGCCTTTAGAGCCTGCTCGAGTTGATCTCATATATGCTATTTCTATTTGATGGAGGAGTACTGCTCTACATTCCTAATTGCATGGCTTAGTGGTTCAGATAACACCCCAGTTGATGATGGTGTTCTTTGCTTAGGATGTATAATAATAATGATTAAGCTTTTAGTCACTCTGAGGGACTAGCAACTGTAAGGAAGTAGCCCAAGAGTGCTGGAGGAAAAGAAGGAAGAAGTGGAAAGGAATAGGTATTACCAAAATAAATCTGGTTGTTTTGAAATACATTGAGAAACAAAATCAAATTCAGAAATTAGGGCTAAGAAGGCACCTGTAGTGATGACATACCTTCTCTAGCCTTCTGTTGTGTACCAGTATTGCAAATGCAAGCAAAAAAAAGTTTCGCTGTAATTCCTTCTTTTCAGTGTGCTTTCTTATTCTGACTATATCTTGGACAGAATCTGCAGTCACTAACTCTCCCATACTCTTCCTTTTAGATCATGCTTTGCTTCCTTAGCTCGCTGTGCCTCCTAGCATTTAGTGGTTAGAGTATTCCTTCTAGAATTCTGATATGCCATGGCATTTTTCTGTTTTACTTTTTATTGTGGAAATTTTGAAAGTACAGTATAATGAATCTCATGTACCCATCACTCAGCTTCAACAATTACCAATATGTGGCTAATCTTGTTTCATCTACACCCTACCCCTATTTTTCCTTCCTGTTCTACCTCTTGATTATTTGGGATTTTTTTATATGTATAGATTTATGGGATACAAGTATAATTTTATTACATGCATAGATTTCATAGTGGTGAATAGTATTCATTATGTGTATATAACATTTTCTTTATGCAGTCATCCATAGATACTTAGATTAATTCCATACCTTTGCTCTTGTGAATAATGCTGCAATCAACATACGAATGCAGGTTATCTTTTTGTTATGTTGATTTCTATGTATCCTCTTTTGAAAAATGTCTATTTGTATCCTTTGCACAATTTTTAATGGAATTATTTGTTTTTTGTTGTTGAGTTCCTTGTATATTCTGGCTATTAGTCCACTTTCAGATGCTAATTCCAGACATCATATCATTTTATCTCCAAATATTTTATTATGCATCTCTAAAAGATAAAAATGATAAAAAAACACACACGTCTAAAACAGTTAATTCCTACATGCTTGAAGCTCTTACTCGAGGGGGGAGGGGGGCATGGGCAATATAAATAACCTTAACACTTGTACCCTCATAATATGCTAAAATAAAATAAAAAAATAAAAATAAAAAAATTAATTTCTTAATATTGTCAAATATCCCATCAGTAGCTACATTTTCTTAATTTCCTAATTGTATTTTTTTTAAATAAATCAGGCCTAAATAAGGTCCATACAACTCATTTGCTTGGTATATCTCTTAAATCTATTTTAATCTATAGGTTCTCCTCTTTCACATATGCACTTAGGGTCTCTCTCTCTCTCTCTCTCTCTCTCTCTCTTTCTCTGCAATTTTGTGATGAAGAGACTGGATCATTTGTTCTGTAGACTTTCCCCATTGTCTGGATTTAGCTAACTGCATTTTCTTATTTTTAACATGTTCTCTGTCCCTTGTGTTTCCAGAAACTTGGTAGTAAGATGTGAAGGCTTTGTTAGATTCAATTTAGACCTTTGTTTTCTTCCTCTCCTTTCTTTCTTTAACAGGACTATTTCATAGGTGATATTCTGTGCAACTATTAGTTAAATAATGATTATTATTTCTCTTTTTCAGGTGTTAATCAGCTGTGTGATCATTGCCTCAATCCATTAATTTGTTAGAGACAAAATAATGATCTGTCATTCCCTCATTTTTTGTCTTACCAGAATACTTCTATAAAAAGAAACTTTATCATTTTTTTGTTTATGTTAAGATATAGTATATATACTCTATGTGTGCATGTATGTATATATGAATATATATATATATATGAAAGGCAGTATAAATACTTGATTCTTCCCTATAATTGCCAGGGTTTTGTTTTGTTTTGAGACAGTCTTGCTCTGTTGCCTGGGCTAGAGTGCCATGGCATCAGCCTAGCTCACAGCAACCTCAAAACTCCTGGACTCAAGTGATCCTCCTGCCTCAGCTTCTCTAGTAGCTGGGACTACAGGTGAGCACTACCACACCTGGCTCATTTTTTTCTGTTTTTAATAGAGATGAGGTCTCGCTTTTGTTTCGGCTGGTCTTGAACTCCTGACCTCAAACAATCCTCCCACCTCAGCCTCCCAGAGTGCTAGGATTACAGGCATGAGCCACCGTGCCTGGCCAAATTACCCATCTTTAAAGTGAGTTAGTTCCTAGCATCCCCTGAAAATGACAACAAAATATTTTTTTCACTATGAACTGAAACATTTAAACATATTTGTGTTTAAATCCATTGTAGTTCCTATCCTATTGACTCTCAAATTGTTCTGTCTTTGGCCAGTGGAACCTTATCCAAGTTAGCTCCTGAGTTCCTTTGATGTCAGCCTAATGGTCTTTGTGCCTAGCTTTCTAGTATAACAGCTTGCTCCATGTTCATCTTGTACACTTCCTGCTCTGGACCTGGGATTATCCATTTTTCCAAGAAGCCACAGATTCATTTAGTAGGAAATAAAAGATCCCACATTCTAATACCAGTATAATCTACACTGTTCAGGAGCATGGCGCACCACCACATGCCTACCCATCTCTATTTAAAGTTTTCTGAACCTGACCTCTGCTGTCTCCCTGCTTGGTACTAACAACAATTATTCCCTCTACTCAAAAAACAAAAAAACACAATTGTTCAAAAACATCTTAAAGGCTGGGTGTGGTGGTTCACACCTGTAATCCTAGCGATGAAAGGCTGAGGTGGGAGGATTGCTTGAGATTAGGAGTTCGAGACCAGCCTGAACAAGAGCAAAACCCCATCTCTACTAAAAATAGAAAAAATTAGCCAGGAAACTAAAATTAGAAAAAAACAATTAGCTGGGAGTGGTGGTGTGTGCCGCCTGTAGCCCCAGCTACTTGGGAGGCTGAGACAGGAGGATCCCTTGAGCTCAGGAGTTTGAGGTTGCTGGAAGCTACAATGACATCATTGCACTCTACGCAGGGCAATAGAGTAAGACTGTGTCTCAAAAAAAAAAAACGTTATCAAATGAGTAGATTTGTTTAAAGGTGAAGGATCATAAGGAAATATTTAGAATTGGTTGATAACAGTCTCCTCACCATTCCCTCCTTCCAATTCTATAGAGTCAGAAAAGCCTTTGAGAAAAGGCAGAAAAATTTGTACAAAAACATGCCTGAGATTTGACAATGACATTATTGTTTTGTTTTGGGTTTTTTTACATTGCAAATTACAAAGGGGAAAAGTGTATCTTTAGAGTAGAAAGTCCTGAGAGATACCACCTTAGCCAAGTGATCAAAATTAAGCTCACTAGTAATGGAACAAATTGACATAATTTGCCTCCTGATATGATATTCTGAGGGCACATAGTTTGTGCAGTATTCCTTTCAAAAATCCATTACATGGAGCATGAGGAAGTAATGAAACAAACCCAAACTGAGGAACATTCTATAAAACAGTGAATATGTTCTCTTCAAAAATGTCAATGTCATAAAAGACAAAGGGTGAAGGAACTGTTCAAATTGAGAGAGACTAAACTGACATGACAGCCAGATAAATACAATGTAATGATCCTGGAGTTGGGCAGATAAGTTGCTATCAAGGACAATGTTAGTACAACTGGCAAATTTGAATATAGACTATATATTGAATAATAGGTTATCAGTATTTTCTGATTTTCAAAAATAAACTGTGGTTATATAAGAGTATATCCTTGTTCTTGGGGAAAACACACTGAAGTACTTATTTTTAAAAAGTCATGATCTTTGAAACTTACTCTCAAATGGCTCAGTAAAAATAAGAAAGTTTATGATATATATTTTATATATTGCATAATATGTAGAGAGGAAAAATGCACATGTGCTTAAATATTAACAGTGGGTAAATCTAGGTAAAGAATATGGGATTTCAGCTGAGCACAGTGGCTCACGCCTGTAATCCTAACACTCTGGGAGGCTGAGGCGGACGGGGCGGATAGCTCGAGGTCAGGAGTTCCAAACCAGTCTGAGCAAGAGCGAGACCCATCTCTACTATAAATAGAAAGAAATTAATTGGCCAACTAATATATATAGAAAAAATTAGCCCAGCACGGTGGCACATGCCTGTAGTCCCAGCTACTTGGGAGGCTGAGGCAGAAGGATTGCTTGAGCCCAGGAGTTTGAGGTTGCTGTGAGCTAGGCTGACACCATGGCACTCACTCTAGCCTGGGTGACAAAGCGAGACTCTGTCTCAAAAAAAAAAAAATGGGATTTCATTACATTATTGCAACTTTTCTTTAGATTTTAAGATTTCCTAATTAAAGGATCAAGTAATTCAATCTCATTATTTAATTTTATTTTTCTGTAACTTAGTTTTATTTTTCAGAACTTTTATTTCATACAACAATTTATTGCTTATAAATACATTGTTTTACTAGATGTTTAATATGATATTTATACATTTTTATATTTGAAATGCTTTATATTTCATCCCAGGTTAGGTTGATGACTGGCTTTGTTTCATTAATTCATCAATAAGCTAGTGTTTGTTTTTTAAAAAAGAAAAACCGTTGTTAGCAGTGAGCTAGAGACCAAAAATTTTCCATTTAACTTTGTTCATAATAAAATTATAAAACACAAGGCAGGGCACGGTGGCTCACGCCTATAAGCCTAGCATTCTGGGAGGCCATGGCGGGCACATCACTCAAGGTCAGGAGTTTGAAACCAGCCTGAGCAAGAGCGAGACCCCATCTCTACTAAAAAAAGAAAGAAATTAATTGACCAACTAAAAATATATAGAAAAAATTAGCCAGGCATAGTGGCGCATGCCTGTAATCCCAGCTACTTGGGAGGTTGAGGCAGAAGGATCACTTGAGCCCAGGAGTTTGAGGTTGCTGTGAGCTAGGCTGATGCCATGGCACTCTAGTCTGGGCAGCACAGTGAGACTCTGTCTCAAAAAAAAATAAAATAAAATTATAAAATGCAATGTTTGTAACAATGAAAAATTGAAAATAATTTTTATGCTTATTAATGGGAAAATGGTTAGATCAGTTACAGTATATCTGTGCAGTTGTATAGTGGTTAAATAGACTAAGGTAGGTTTTTATGTTCTGATTTGAAAAGATTTCTAAGATATATTAAGTCAAACAGCTTGCTGAAAAAATGCACACAAAATTTAAAAAAAGAAAAAATACTTATATCCAGTTTTTTTAAAGCAACTATATTTGCATTGTGTAAATTAATGCAAATGCTTCAGGATACACTATAAAGAAGCCTAAACTGTTTAATAAAGCAAAGATTGAGTAGGGTGTGGGAGCATAGGGAGGAGTGAACTTATATTTCCATTCTTTGCATATTTTATACTTTTGTATTTTCAGCACTTTTAAACACCAAGAATATTAATGTATTACTGTGTAATATTTATACAAATTAATGTGGATTGCAATTTAACTATGTAAATATTAGAGGAATGGATATAATCTAATCAGTGCAAATGATAATGATGCAATTTCTTCTAATAGCTGATATGCATTCAAGATGGTTACCTTTCCCTGCTGACAGAAACTGGTGAAGTTCGTGAGGATCTTAAACTGCCAGAAGGTGAACTAGGCAAAGAAATAGAAGGAAAATACAATGCAGGTGAAGATGTACAGGTAAAGACTTACAGGAAGATTGTTTTTTCAACCATTTAATACAATTTTGGCCTAAACTAGGTAACATAAAATACTATTAATATATATGGAATGTAGTTTAAAAATATTGCTGAAATGTTGAAAATGATCAGTTTTTCCATAATACTCTTAGAGACCCATTATCAAAGAAGTATTGAAGTTCATTTTTGCTGCATAAACACTGTCAACCCCAAATTTGTTTTGGGCCTCTGTATCTGAACTATTCTTAAGGATAAAAAATGGTGCTCTCTAAAGGAGTGTTAAAGTGTTAAAGAGTGAAGGAGATTTACTCTATTACAACTTTCAGAAGTGTAACATCTAGTAAGTGTTGAAACATTTATAGGTCTTATTCTTCCTATTCCCTGGAAGTTGTTTTACAAATGACAATTTGAAGAGTCTGCTTCAGAAAACTGTAAAGAAAGTAGATTACTTATTTTGTAATACTCCTTTCCAAATTCAATATGTACAAAATATCTACAAATATAAAATATATGTGAGCTAAATATATCTTCTATATGTTTACCTTCTGAATAACTTTTTGCCTGCATTTTTTCCTTCTAGGTATCTGTCATGTGTGCAATGAGTGAAGAATATGCTGTAGCCATAAAACCCTGCAAATAAATGGGAACATCAGGCATGAACAAACTATTTAGGTCTGGATCAACTGCAGATCTAAAGTTTGGTTCTAAGTTGTCACCAAAGCTATGGCCTTCATAAGCAACCTCATTTCTTTTTGTAATTGTTTTGAAGTTGTGCTGGGTTAGTTTTGCAGGCAATTGGTAATTTTAAAAAAATTATAAGATGTATGATTCTTTTATTTTTTAGTTTTGTAGGTGTTTTTCCTATAACGTTCCTGTGGTTCTCAGTTTGTGAGTCTAACAGACAAGATAGCTTCAGCAGATGTGATTTGTCTGAACAAATCATTCCTGCATTTTAGTTAAATGACAATAAACCAGGGTTTTAAATCAAACAATGTAGCATATAATGGTATTGAAGTTGAATTGTTCTACATTAATTTCAGATTTAATATCACAAAATGTATAGATTATGGATTGGAATTGTCACAGCTCTGCTTGTGAGTGGCAAACACAAATCCTTAAACAAAAATCATGCTATCAAAAAGTGTAGTTATCTTGTTGGCCATGTGCAACCACATGTATTACCTTAGTCATACTATTCTTTGCCAAATTGTTGGCAGACTTAATATAACCTATGGTGGTTTTAGTATCTTTTTGTGGTTGACAGAGGGATATTGAACTGTTGAGTGAAAGTGACCAAGTAAGATTGTAAAGAATATACAAAAGACAATGGCAAAGAGAATTGGTTAAAGCCATAAGTTTTCATTTGAGGCCTTTGTAGTCAGCATAAAAATGAAAAGTGGCTTTTTAGTTGTGTTTTTGCTTTTAAGCTTTGCCTCCCCACCTCCACCCACTGACATTTAAAGGAGTGATCTGCTTTACTGGACACTATGCAGTACTTTTTTCCCAGCCATGTAGGTATTTATTAGTAAATACTCCTTTCCAACCATTTTTAAGTAGATTTTTTTTTTACCTTAAAGTATTTGTTAGACAAAAACTTTTAATTGATTTCTTGAATTCTTACTTTTAATTGATTTGGAATTTTTGTTAAATTTATCTATATTTTTTCTAAAATGAAATGAAAGTCAATCATGGAAGAAATGTTACTTTATATATTGTTACTTAACTTATTTTAAAGTATATATAATTTTCTGATTATCATGTGACTTTGTTCAGTTACTGGTATGAAATATAACTAGGAAGTAATTCTATTATAAGCTGAATTATTTTAAAAGTTATTTTAGGTGACACCACTGTATTTCTATTTAATCTTTTGAGTCATATGTACATTAATATTTCCAGAAGTTTAGATACTGGTACAGGGTACGTGAGGATCTTTGACTCAGTAACAATTATGATATTGGAATGAAGCTTAGAACAGAATCAGTCTCTCAGTAATACCTTGATTCTTAAGACTGGTTCTGAGACCTCTTCCTTCATTCCTTGACTTCTGGTTCCTATAACCTAGAGGAAAACATATATGATGATGTAACTGATCTAATAAGTCACTGGAAATAGCGTTAGGAACAGAAGATCACAAAGTTTTAGTTGCTTAATTTCTACAGACTGTTAAATCTTATCTTGGCTTCAGAAAGCTCACTTGGAGAAGAAGCAAGATGCTTTGAGAGAAATGCAAAGAGGAAAATTCTAAAGCACAAGAAATATTGAGGTTGTAGTTAATTGTTTTTAGTATAACATTTTCGCTTTTGCCCATCTAAAGCACAATTAGGAATTAGGCTAAATTCTTTCCAGTATGCTATTTAAGAATCTACTACATAATGCTCTAGTGTTTTAGTATTCTGTAATGCATATCTTACTTGCTGCTGGTTGGCATTGTTACCCACAGGAATTCCAGAAAATTATTAATCTGTGTTACTTTGCTGGTCATTCATATGGCCCCTGCTAACCATACTAGTTTTCTGACAGTATTAATTCTCTATTAGCATGCACTTGTTATTCCTAACTTGTCATACTTCACATAAATATATTTTCAATTGTGATGTAAGGGTATACAAATTATAATAATGCATCTCTGTCTTCAAGCCTTGAATGGCAAAAGCTATTTGTGCGTAAATATGTCATTTTAAGTATTATATGAAGTGTAAATATTCTTCTGACATATAAGTATAGATTTTAAAGATATGGGACTGTTTATTTTCACATAAGTCAATAGATGTTTCTCTAGAACAAAATATTTCATTTGGTAAAGCTTTATAAATTATATTAAAAGGAAGCAGGGAACATATTTTTTAACATAGAACAGAAGTGACTTCATTCTTTTTAGACATCAGAGAAATGTTAAAAGTTGATTCCTAGTATTTCTTGTACTTTTTTGTAGCAAGTGTTAAATATCACAAGTTACATGTATAGAATGTTGACTGTCATGTTGATAGATTATACAGTGATATGCCCGTTTTTGTCTGTACACCTTTCATCAGTTTATGTTCAACAGGTTGAGTATTTGTTTCTTGCTAGAACAGCATATTTTATTTCTACTGTAAAGACTTTGTTATACCTTATTTGCTACAAAGTTGTATATCCTCTGACATAGATCACATCACTGCTACTTAGCATTTGCATCATAAACATAATTATGATGTTTTTCTTTCATACTCCCCTTCAAAGGCTGTCAGTCACTTAAAGAAATTGTTGCTAACCAAGCTCTTGACTGTGTTCCCTATGATACAAGCCCCCCTGTACCAGTGCTTTCTATGAATTACCAAAATTCTCTTACAGTCAGAGCATGATATCTTTAACAGGAGATGCTGCATTAAAATATTTAGTCGATAAAATTTGGGTACACAATTTTTCATTATAACATAATGTGCTTGTGTGCATGTGCACACATTAGCTTTGTATGTTTGTTCTTTTTCCAGAGTCCATTCTACTCTTTAAAGTACTGTAGTCTGGTAGTGCCTCAGATGTTGGTAACTGATTTTATTTTATTTATTTACAACTTTTTCAGAACTTGTTTTTGTACTTTAAGGTTTCTCAATTAGATTATTTCTAGTTGAGCTGTAATTTGAATGCATTGTTCTCAGGACTGTTTGTGCTCAGAGCTGGAGTTTTATTATTTTAAAGCTAACTGCCTGAAAGCATATTACAGAACTTTCCCAAATTGTAATACCATGGTATATACATCTAAAAAATTCTTAATATCAACATATTTAAACTATATACCAAGTATTCAAGAAAACAATGGAAGTATTAGTAGCATTTATACTAGAATCTTAACATATTTTTTCATTTAAGAATAGAATTTGGTAGTCTCATCGTGGACCCCTATCCTTACAATATATTTTGAAAAGCATTCCTTTGGCATGGACCCCAAAGATAGTTTTAGAGCCAGACATTGATAGAGTAGTTCTCCAAACATATTTAGGGACAGCAGATTGAAAATTCATAATGCTCTTCTGTGTACACATGTTTATATATTGAATTCTATAATATGAACTAGGAACACATTTACTATGAGAAAATATGGCTCCTAAGCTGTATAAGAGCAAAAATATAAGCATATTCCCATAAACAATATATTGTACTGATCAACAATTTTAATTTTCTAATAAAATTTAGGTATAATATTTAATAGTTTTCAAGCTTTTTTCTGCTAGCATTCACACAAATAATAGGCAACAAAGATTTAAGAATAATTTATAGTAGAAAATCTTCAAGTTGAGAAAATCCAGTCTACTAACTTTAATCTATTGAATTTTTCCCTCTGAATTGGGGATATAGCATCATTATTTGATTTTAGCAGGGAACATTTGGATTACGGAACACAGATGTTCTATGGGAACATAGCTTGAAGTCAATATATAATTTAATGTTTTTCCACTAAATAAACATCTGAACACCAACTTAACTACCAAGTGAGGTCAAGTGCCTGAAAAGTGCTGTATACATCGAATAAGCACGTTTTTCTTTATATGAAAGATGCATCTTACAGCAACCATACCAGGCTTTCACCTGCTAGAAACATACTTGTTGCCAAACTTTGCCATCCACCACTATTCCCCTCCTTTGAACAGGTAGAGATCTATTTTACAATAAAAAGGTTTCTTTTATTTATATGAAGTCCCTAAAACTATTTCTTGGTATTGGTAGACTTAAGTGTATCTTAGTTCTAGATTGTACTTTTTAAAAACTCTGGACACTAAACTATATTCAACAATGACCAAATAGCTTGTCATAAGTTATAGTTGTGAACTTTCTTGAGAGGAACTCTTTATTGTGGTTAATATCTACTATAAAAATAAGCACTCTTGTGCTTCTTACAAAGTATAATGCAAATTACTAGTCCTATACTGGTATAATGAAAATGACTAGTTCTATTATGTACTTTATCCCTTCTCCCAAAAAAGGAAATATTTGAAATGGTGTTGTCTAATCCAGTGGCACTTTATTAGTAATACATTTTATTTATCTTAGATGTAGGAGAATTCTTGCTTTTACATGCAGAGACTCAAATGTTTTAGCTAAAACTTAAAAATTTTAAAATATGTATTAATAGTATGGATATTATAATTGTGCATTTTACATTTCAAACATGGATAAAATTCAAATATTAAGTCCTTGGCTATACTAAAAATCCTTTAAAATGTAGATAAACTTATTAATTATGACTTTTTGTTACATTAAAGTATTTGTCTGTTAACTTCATCACTTATATTAAATAAAAATAAAGTTAATTTAACAGCTTGTACAATTCTTGTTTATTTACATTCTTAAAAACGTTTTCATAGTAGAGAATTGTACAAGTTAATGTGTATATTGCTTTAAAAAGAAAATCTAACTTATGTTTTATTAAGATTTTTTTATATGCTAAGTCCTTAGTACCCTAGCATTATGGCTAGGAATGGTAATTTCTAAATTTTGATTACAGGTTTAGGGACGATTTTGTTTTTATTTTTAAATCTTTAACAGTTTTTAAAACAATTATTAAAATAGTTTCTTGATCCAAAATCCAACATGTAAAAAAAACATAAAAGCATCTTCCCATCTTCATCCCCTTGCTATGCATTCTTCCAGAAATATGTAATACAAGAGAGGTTAATGGTCCTTGCCTCACCCCTTACCTCCCAGGGTTTGAGGTTTTTCCTTTCCTACCAGCTGGGGTTGCTGCTGTCTTTCCACAAGGACATGAGTGGTGTGATAATTTCCTGAAGCAAAGTCTTAACCCTTTTCCCAAACCTCATCACCATTTCTTTTTTTATTTTATTTTATTTTTTGAGACAGAGTCTCGCTTTGTGCTTTATTGCCCAGGCTAGAGTGAGTGCCAGTGGCGTCAGCCTAGCTCACAGCAACCTCAAACCTCAAACTCCTCGGCTCAAGTGATCCTACTGCCTCAGCCTCCCGAGTAGCTGGGACTACAGGCATGTGCCACCATGCCCGGCTAATTTTTTTCTAAATATATCTTAGTTGGCCAATTAATATCTTTCTATTTATAGTAGAGATGGGGGTCTTGCTCTTGCTCAGGCTGGTTTCGAACTCCTCACCTCGAGCAATCCACCCGCCTCGGCCTCCCAGAGTGCTAGGATTACAGGCGTGAGCTACCGCGCCTGGCCCTCATCACCATTTCTAATCCATATCAGCTGGACAAGTCTTTCCCTACGTGGCTCAGCAGCTTCTTCCCTTTCTACACTGTACCATTCTAGAACATCTCTCTTGCTCTCTGCCATGTAAGCCATGCCTCATGTCTGTGATCAATACCATAAATATCCATAATCTTCCAGATCCAGAAAGCAGAGTTGGGCAGTAAAAGAAGCACCAGATTAGTCTTCCAACCCACATTCCCACTCTCTTTTGCCACTTTAAAATACAGTAGTCCAGTTTCCTAGAGGTAGGCATGGGAAGGAAGAAGAGTGAAAAGGGCTAATTGTGTGTTTTTTATCTCTTACAGCCTGTCAGAGTCTCTTCCCCTTCTCCCCCATAATTCAACATTTTAACAAATAGAATGTCTTTTTGTGGGACTGCCACATAGAACTCATACTGCCTGTCTAAAGTGCACACTCCATTCAGAACTTTAAACATCTTTTTCCCACAATACATTCAGCAGTATCAGTTAAAATCACTGGGTGTATATTGACTCAAAAGGGCCCATTTACAAGGTCATATCAATCCATTGTCCAATTTGAGTTATTTCTGAATCCGGTCAAATCGGCCACATCCATCGACAATGACTTATGTTCCAATGTCCAGGAATGTCAAAAAAGCTTGGCTTGGCAAACTGTCAGATCCTTGGCAAACTGTCAGATCCTTGACACACAGATTCTAAGGGCGAGTGAAGGTTCATCTACCTAACACTCATAGTGTGATTACCTTTTTTGTTTACAATTATGAGTTTCACTTAAGTTGTGGCTGTCAGTGTATTTCATTTTACTTGCTATACAATCAATGAGGTAAATCTTTTGGATGTATATCAAAAGCTAACACCATGGTGTTAGAGAATATACCTTTCTTTC